CAGTAAGAAATAAACAAAGCCACTTCTACGTGGTGCGCTCTCTCAAAGTCTTTTGTGTGGAGCACATGCATCTCATAAGCACATCTTGCCGCACTCTACCAAGCCTTGATGAATCATCATGTTAAATATAAACACATCACATGCAATGGATCGGCTTGGCGTCGATCAAATATGTAGATTTACAGATTAGTCTTCAAATATCAAAAAGGAGGACACTTTTCAAGGGAGGACAGAACTTAAAAAAGAAGGACTGTCCTCCCTAAAGGAGGATGATTGGTCACCTTACTGCTATATGCCTTTGTGCAATGTTTTGCTTTGTTAATACACTAATTTCTTTTGTTACAGTGCAATGTACTCATGATGGTTGCTATCAGTCAGTTTATTGACTTTCACTGCAATTATTAAGGACAATGGTTTTTCTGGTTATTTATTTTCTATCTGTCTTTTTCTTACCATACCAAATATCTTTTCTTTTTGCTGCACATCAATGCCCTGCTATGTTGTGTAATAAAACTATCCTCAACCTTACTATTTACAAAGATTACAAATCTTTGTAAAATAGTAAGGCTGATGATAATTCTTTTCTTGAGAAAGTTCATACCATATGGCCTGTATGTTCTTAAGTGATGAATCAGATGTTTTTCTTTTTGGGCAAAGAAACTGTAGCACTGCTCAATAATTTGGTATAACTGTAAAAGTAACTCAGTTCCTTCCATTATTGATTTAACTGCCAACATAGTGGCATCAAAGTTACCAGACTTAAAGATGCAATTTATCTTGTCTGCCATTTAAAATTATCACATTTCAGCTAAAATTCTCATACATATACCAATATACATACAGTAGAGCATCCTTTATCCAAAAGTCAGTTATCCGAAAGCATTCCAGTCAGCAAATTTAAATTTTTGCTAGTGCTGTGGTGCTGCAATCTTTGGCTATATCTTGGGCTACTCCATGTGTGTTTTAGCTGGCAGCACTGGCACTTTTGTGTGGTGTTTTTCTGAGGATTGTGTGTCATGCTGAATCGAACGTTTTTGATACTAGATCAACTATTAAAGTATAGTTTTTTGGTTTTTATATTTTTCAATATTGCAGATATTTTAATTAATTAATTTAATTTTTCAATATATTTATTTTGTTTATAAGAAATAAAGAAATAATTTTTAACGATACAATAGCCACGATTATTATTTAAAAAAAGTATATGTTAGGCTTAACATCGACAAAAATTCAACGCGAAGTGACATGCAACGGAGAAAAATTTCAACACGGGATAGGTTAATATATTTTTTTCGTACATAATCGGTTATCCGAAAAATAAGTTATCCAAACAACCTCAGTCCCCAATTGATTCGGATAAACGACGCTCTACTGTAAATAAAAATATTAATCTTGGTTCTTTCCCAATTGAAGGAATCTGAGATGATCATTCTGGTTCACTTCAGTCATTCATAATAAAATACATAATATGTCTTTGGCATATATATTGGTGTTAGACTTATTAAATGAAATGTTTATGTGATAATATCAAGTTCTTTAAAAACACTGACAAAAGGGAAAAGGAGCCTGTCCACTGACAGAGCATACAAAATGCTGATGGTTAGCAACTATGTGTTTCTATGTTATCAGTTCTTTCTATATAAAGTTGGAAAGAAATTCATAAGTCTGATACTGTAGTTCAAAAGATATAAAAGGTTTAATATTTCAACTCAGTGTATGAGGAGGCTAAATATTGTTCAAAAGTATGGGAATTCTTCTTTTCTTGTATTAAATCACTTTTAATCACTTGTTTATGGTGTGAATTTACAGCACAATTTGACTGTTTAATTTAATTATGAGGAAGATTCAATTAAAAATTAATTTTATGGTAAAAGTCTTTTTTAATAAACAAGGAAAACAGCCATTCATCCTCATTGACAGGTTTAGCACAATAAGTTAACAGAAATATGAAATTATATATATGTATGTATGTATGTATATAATTTCCTATTTCTGTGAACTTATTTCTGACTCTGTGAAAAGTTAAAATATATATATATATATATATATATATTTTTTTTTTAACTCTTTCTGCACTATGGGCATTAAGGCAGCTTTTTTTCAGGTCTATTATGGGTTCAGCCAGTCCTACAATGAAGCGGCTGGGTGAAAATTGCATGTTTTCACATATCCTGCTTCACTTAATAGGAGCATACTATGCATATATGAACATGCTGTTAAGTGTGCCAGCTTCTTTTGGCTTATACTGCTGTGTCAATGTAAATTAAATGTAAATATACTGCTAAGTAACTACTCAATAATATCTCTGTGGCAAACATTATTAAAAATAAAAAACTAAAATAAAAAAAATGCCTCTGATACTATAAAAATCATTTTAAAATAATGAGGTTGTTTTTAGATAATTTGTGCAATACAATGATAATTTTGTCCCTTCTACAGGAGCATGCTCTTAAGTTATACACCCAGAAATATGGGTGTATAACTTAAGAGTATATACCCTTAAGTTAAATCTTAAGGGTGTATAACTCTTAAGTTATACACCCAGAAATACATACAAATTAAATAATTTGTTTATGTGACTTTTACTTATTGAATATTTTTTTATTGTGTTTGTTTCAATTTTAATTACATCTGAAAAATTTTCATCAGTTTTTACTACTGTTCCTTACTGCTAAATTATTAATGCTAATGCTTGTTGTAATTACCTATTTTGAATATATCATCATGGTATTTTTCATAACTTTGATGATTAATACTGTGAATGTATATAAACAAATAAACCATGCAAAATATAGGAATGTTTGTTGTTTTATTGTTTATGTTAAAATTCTGATTTTCTGCTATTAACATAAATTATTTTTTTAACCTAGTCTCACCAGCTTCTATGTCCATGAGCTGCCACAATGAATATTAACATTTAATAATGGTGATGATGATGAAATTTTAAGAGTTAGTGAATGTGGAATACTCTTAAATGAATGAATATCTCTTACTATAATATCCATCAGAAAAATATATTAAATTTTATGAAAAATGATAGATTATGACAAACAGTACTTAAACTTTGCATCATATTTAAGTAGAATAAATAAATACTTAATTCAGGATACCAAATTAATTTTATTCAGTAATGTTTTTGTTTTTATGTAAGACTTCAGCTTCATTCTGGAACATGAATATACAGTATACCATTATCAAGTGCATTAAAAAGAGAGAACTATTCTAGGTTTGAACAATTTCAAATTACAATAAGGAAATTACCATCACACAGAAATTATAATAAAAACAGCAAAATTATAACATAATATATTAGGATGGTATTTTAAAACTTTGTTAAGAAATGTGTATCTATCTTTGAAGTAAAATTCTCGCATTCTGACTTTGCTTTTAGACAAAGGATAAGAAAGAATAAGAAATCCAAAATTGCTGCCCATCTATTGCTGTCTAGCACTAAAGAGTCATGGGAATTAATCATCCTAAGCTTGCAAGTGCAAAGATGTTCATAAAGATGCTCCTATAGAAGGGACAAAATTAGCATTGTATTGCACAAAGTATCTAAAAACAACCTCATTATTTTAAAATGATTTTTATAGTATCAGAAGCATTTTTTTTATTTTAGTTTTTTAATTTTAATAATGTTTGCCACAGAGATATTATTGAGTAGTTACTTAGCAGTATATTTACATTTAACTTACAAACTTTAACAAAGGTTAAGTGTGCAAGATGCATATTTTGCTCAAAACCAGCATGTATCATTTATCTCTGATTAGTCTTGCCAGGAGCTTTCTTTTCACATGAACTTCCCTTTATGAACAACTCGATAAAATTCATTTTATCTCTGACAACAATATCTTCCAAACAAGCACAAAAGAAATACATAACACTGCTCAATTAATCTAACAGACCATTTATCTGCCCAATGATTGATCATTAAAGGGTTATTCCAATTGACTTGGACTCCCCTATCTATGGTCTAAACAATACTACCTTTCTTATCTGGAAAGTCCATTCTAGTTTGTCTAAAAGCTAAGAATGCAAGGATTTTACTTGAGGGTTACTTATCAAAGAAAACTACGTATTTCCTGATAAAGTTTTAAAGTATCATCATAATATATTATGTCAGTGGTCACCAACCAGTCACCAGAAAATTTTGGTGGTCTGTAGAGAAATTTGGATATTGACTTTGCATAACCTTGAGTTGATCAAAGTATTATGAAAGAAATACAAAATGCTTGGTTGCTTTTTCTCACTCATTGGGGGTATTTTTTATTCAAATCTAAAACCAAACACGAAATGATTGTTATCAACAAATAATCAACAATAAGTAATGTGAGTGCAATAGTCATCCTTCATGGAAAAGAGCCAAAAATCCATAAACTTATTTCAAACAAGCAGCAACAAACTTCATATTAATTTGTTATAATTAAGCAATTGAATTTCATACTAATAAAGTAAAATGAAACTTTTATGATCATTATTCTATAGATATTTGTATCATTTAAAAAAATTTATGTTAGTGATCTGTGGGATTCAAAATTATGAATTTAGTGGTCTGCAAGGTCAGAAAGTTTGGCAACTGCTATATTATATTATAATTTTGTACTTTATTATAATTCTGTGTGATAGTAATTTATTAATTGAAATTAATATCTAATTTGTAATTGTTCAAAGTAACAAAGTTCTCTCAAATGTATTCAATCTGATACACTTGATAAACAGTATATATTCACATTCAGACTGCAGATGAGAATGTTCTTACAAAAAACTGAAAGCATTACTAAATAAAATTAGTTTAAAGAAAGATTTTTTTGTCAAACTGCAGAAAAAAGAAAACACATTTTTAGGAGATTAAAATACTATATTTTGTACTTATTTCACAAATCTAATGTAGAATAAATTGTTAGATTTCATACAACTAGATATATATGTATATATATATCTACTTATATATAGACTATAATCATTAGGTTTTTTCATTAAATTTCATTAAAAATATGTACTTCCTTCTGTGCCGTCATGCCCCAATCGTTGCTTCTTGTGCCTCAATACTTGTCTTATTTTATCACCATCTCTGCACTGGACTGTGTTGGTCTTGTCTTTAAATTTTATATCTAGAAATATTCAATAAAATAAGGAAACAAAAGAAAATAGTTTTTTGGAACACCTTAGTATAAATGTTCATAACAATAAAACTCTAAAACAATTGACTTTTTTGTAAAAATATTCAATATCCATGAAATTATGTTTAATCTTGGAAAATCAAATATCAAACCAATTTTACTAAATCTTTCTAGATTTGGTAAAATTTACTAAGTTTCTGAATTTAGTTACCTTTTGCATTACAGTCTTTACAAAACAGAAGATCTTCAGCCATTCCATTTCGATTAGAGGAAGCACTGAGGAAACAATAATCACAACGAGGATCCTCTGAGTCAGATGAAGGAAGACTTGATGTTTCCAAAAAATCCGGACCATGAGTTTTCTTAATGCGCTGTATTTAAAGATAAATAAATTTAATAAATTTTGGTTTCTACAACTTTTCTAATGTTCTAATTCATTGAAATTTTAATTCTTTGCAGCTATTTATAAAATAAATTTTAAAATTCCAGGATACATCTATTAAAACATAATTCACTTAAAATATATTATTTAATCACATTTTCTGCACTATTTGAAAGCATTATACAAAAATTATGAACTGTACAGCAATTTTATACAATTTTAATATGTCTAAGATTTGTGTAAAGAAAATTTTATTTCAAAATTATTTCATTAAATGAAGAATAAGAATATTCAAAATATTTTAAATTAAAGATCAAATTTTATATTAACTAATTATTCATATATCATAATCCATATAGAATTATATTGCATTGAAGGACTGGACTATCTGATTTAAATTTCACTTAAATCTTGTAAAATTATGTAAACAGTACACAAAGTTTAATTTTAAAAATCAGTAATATTATTTATGAAAATTATCTTGTCTATAATACATGTGTGTTATCTCTATATTTAAAGTAATTCTGAAAAATTTATAAAATTATTATAAATAATTATGATGAATGAATTAAAAAAAACTCATATGTTATTACAAACTTTTTCCATTGTATTATGGTTTTTTATTTCTATAAGTTGTATAAATTTATATCTCAACGCATTTGTTTCACTTGTTTTAAATTGTTTATAGTATACATTTTAAATTATAATAATTTATTCATTCAAAAATTGTAATTATTATAAATAATTATGATGAATTGTAATTATTATGATTATTGTAATTATTATAAATAATTATGATGAATGAATTAAAAAAAACTCATATGTTATTACAAACTTTTACCATTGTATTATGGTTTTTTATTTCTATAAGTTGTATAAATTTATATCTCAATGCATTTGTTTCACTTGTTTTAAATTGTTTATAGTATACATGTTAAATTATAATAATTTATTCATTCAAAAATTGCTTCTCTCTCTACAGTTCAGCATATTTTTATACAAACTGATACCAACAAATAAATGCTATGGGTATTATATTAGCATAATTGTCATCAAATTTAAAATTAGTATAAACTTTCCAACTAAGCATGCTAACTCCCTAAGAGTTGATTCTGGGAGATTTGACTTTTTTTACTCTCAGCTATATTTAAAAGCTGTTGCTTATTTTTTAGTCTGTTTTAATATATAACCCAAAAGTTGATCATCATGATGAGTAAATGTGGGTAGAAGAGTACGACCCAAAGACAAAAGATTAACTCCATAAAAATTGAAAATCAAGTTACAAACATGTCACCATACCTAATTAGTTTCCTTTATTGATACTGCCCAATATCTAGTGTGAAAAATGTTCTGTAATAATTATAGATGTAATAATTAAGTATGATGAAAATCAAATTGAAAACTTGTCAATTTTTATGGAGATAGAGTCTTTTGCCTTTGGGCAGTACAATAGGTCTCAATTTAGGAGACCAAGAATTTACAAACTTTTGTCAAATTTCAGAAATCTCCCAGCAAATCCAGGAGAATTGGCAGTCCCATTCCTGATGGCTAATAAATAAATAAAAATAAATAATAAATAATATAATTGTGCTTTTAGGGATAAAATGTTTCCAATATTGAATTTATGGTTACAAGATCATGAAAATGTTCAGCAATCAGCATCTGGTTCACAATCATCATCTATGCTTGAAAAAAAAATCTAATGATCCATATCTTGTCTCCAATAACTGCTTTTCTGCTCCAGCTAATATATGATATTCTATATTAGTGTAACATGATTCTCATTCTCAATCAATATAATTTCATAATTTCTTTAGAGAACTTTGAATTCTTGAAAAATTATATCAAATGTTTTGTCAGCATAGACTTTGAAATCTAAATTGTCAAAGTGGAGATGCTTTATCTAAATTTAACCTAACAAGTCATTATCATAAATCACAATAAACAGAAATCAAACAACATATTGGCATATACCTTAACAATAGTGTTACCACCCATCCGGTTTTCACCCATACAGTCCGGGAATCGACTCACTGAACTACTAATTTTGTCAGGGAATATCGTGCCAGCCTGTCAACCTTTTTTTTCTTGTACAATTTGTATTCGTACATGTCTCTAATATCCAATAGAGCTAAGTCATCTGTAGTTGTTTTTTCTTAATTTAGTTAGTTACATTACTCCAAGTCTCCCTAGTCCCTAACTGTAACTGATTTAGAACCAGCATGCACTGCACGTTATTCTTCGCATTGCAAAATGACATTGCACATGCGTCAGGAACTTCTGTTCAAACAAACCTCACCTGCTGTCCATATCAGCTATTTTGAAAAGGTGGCAACACTACTTAACAATCTGACAATGCAAAGAAGATATTTAGAAACCAGGATCTGATTTTTTGTATAAACTTTGCTTTATTACCCTGCTTAAGGTTCAAGTCATTAAATTCTCTTATTGCTCAAAGAGCAGCTCCCAAATCTTTTGCCATAGTGGTTGTTATAAGTTGATAATATAATTTTCCCATAGAAATGAATATATATGATTTAGATCAGATTGTAGTGACATGAATTTTAATAAGAAAGGAAATTTATTAAAGTGAAAAGAAAAAAGATCAGAAAAACATCGTACACTGTTAGAATACAAAGAATTTCAGCAAGCCATTTCCTAATTCTCTACTTTCATATTTTTTATTTGAGTAAATTATTACTTAGCTGCACCTCTATTATATGATACTGATAATATAATTTTCCATCTGTGTTTATCACTCATTAATATCAATTTTTCACCAATTCTCCTTATTTTATCTATTTTATTTTTCTTTAAACAGCATAACCTTATATTTTTAAGATCATAGTGAATTTTATATTTTGTTGTAAGGCAATTTATTTTATTTTTATATTCAAGATTTTATTTATACAAAAACAGTCCAGAACATCTACAGTCCAGAAATTTGTAATCTAGGAACATCAGTAATCCAACATTATTTGTACAAACATATATATCCTCACACTCATAATCCAAAAAGGGTGAGCAGCAGGCAAAAGGAGACTATAATCTTACAAACTATCCATTCAGCAACTTTTTCCACACCTTCCTGTCCAGACATACCACTTTTACTTCATACACACTCATGCCTCTTTTAGCACACTTTTAACACATTTTCACATTCTCTTTCTGACTCAACACTATGTACTTTCAGATACTCATCCATTTGTTCCAACCAAGACTTTTTCAGCCTTCCCCTACCACACGTCCTTGGGAAAGGTGGATACCTTTCCCATATACTCTTTTCAACAGTTCTTCTCCTTTCATTCTCCTTTCATCCTCTCAATGGGCCTTACAATGGTTCAGCCATTGTAAGGCCTATTTCCCTACTTTTTCATCTACATCCTCTTTTACTCCACATTCCAACACTTGTTCATTTCTCACAGTCTCTCTCCTTGTTATGCCTCACACTCCTCTTAAATATCTCATCTCATATGCAGTAATGATACTCCTATGACTCTTCTACGATACCTAAGTTTGATTAGAATACATGAGCACAGGAACCACAACACACCTATACACAACCCATTTATGCCTCTTTGGCAGGAGCGTACTGTAGTGGAGGCGGCAGGGGCGGCCCGCCCCGGGCGGCACTTTTTAGGGGGCAGCAAAATTTCACAATAAATAATAATAATATCTTGTAAAAATTTGAAACATCCTAACCTATACTTGCATCGCGCCTACGATAGTGCTATCGTCCGGACAGTCCGGGAATCGGCTCGCCGTCCGGGTGAAGTAGTGATTTTTTCATCCCAGGAAATCCTGCGAAACCTGTTGACCTTTTTTTTTATTTCGCTTGTACGATTTATTCGCGTTCATATACACCACTAATATCCAATAGAACTATTTTAAACAGGTCGCTGCACTACCACCGAATTTTTCATTGCTTGTTCTGTGACAAAACTGAATTTTGGTCTTTTAAATTGAAATACCTAAATAAGGGGGGCCGAAATTTTCCTCCGCCCCGGGCGGCTGACATCCACGGTATGCCACTGCTCTTTGGACATCCTTTTATCCCTTGCAAATCTACTCAATGCACCCACCACCTGACTCCAGCACTATTTGTGAAAATTACAATTTTGAAAAATCTATAAAACTTGTACAAAATTGTGATTCAAACTAATGAAGTGGATTTTTCCATTTCATTTCATGTTAATTAAATTTATGTGTGTTTTTATAACATCATATTACTTAAAGTTTGGCATTTGTGATGCTTATGTCAAATTTTGTTTGCAAATTTCTAATGTAATATTTAACATTATTTCTTCTACTTTTGTAGAATAAATCAACAATTGAATAAAAATTAATAAAATTAGTTGTTAAAATATGATGAAAATACAGTGGGTGATCGGTTAACGAACAAATTGGATAACGAACACTTTCACAAAAGATTTTTATGATCGGACAACGAACATATGTTCGGATAACGAACACTTCACTGAACAAACACAAGAAGCGACGTAAAATAATGAATACCAATTGGTCTTCCTTTGTCTTCAGGCAACAATTCGAAGCTTTTCAGAGCACGGGAGACGTCGACATCGACGTTCTACCCAGTATATACTGATCGGATAGTATTCCCCCGAACTTTGAAACTCTCTCTTGTAATTCCAGCCTTTTGTATTTCTGACAGAAACAATTCTTTTACGTTTTCTTCTGAAAATGCGGATTTATGTTGATATCCGCTATTAAAGATCTTTTGAAGAAGTAGGAAGATGTCAGAACTACGGTCTTAAAATGGCATCCAAACCAAGTTGAGGTTAATAGGCCTAGGGATCTCTACAATTACAATGCTATTAATTACTTCTGAAAAATCATGAATAAGACAGAAAAGCAATCAACATTGGATAGATTCTTTAACCCCCACAAACAGAAAAAACATGACTAATAAAAATGCAAGACCGTGTATATATGTATTTTTATTATTACATATGAATAAACGTAGTAAAA